CCATTATAATGTCATATAGCACTTATAAGAAGAGAAAGATCTGAAATTTCCTCAGTTCTTGTTGCAGGGCTTACTTCCATCAAATAATTAATAGTTGATGATGTCATGCCACACCTCCAATTTGGGAGTAGCTGGAGTACGCTGCTACTTCTGCAGGCATGCAGTCTGGTTTGTTTTTAGGATACGTATCTTTGATAGAGACCACATCAAAAGCTGTGGTTTTGCAACCCATGATGCTATTTTTAAAATAAGAGTGTATAAATAGTTGATAAAATCCCAAGTGTTAGTTGGAATTTATAAACACATCAAAAATTTTTGGAGGGACTCCCAGAGTCCCATCATGCTTTTCACACTTGCCCAGAGTGTCACTTTTGATCTAAATGTACAGGTGCACTTGCAGGTCAGCTTGGCTAGCTAAGCCTAACACTTCCCAATCAACTATAGGGGCGAGGCCATGCACCTTTGGTGTCTCGTTTCAGTTCTGTACTTAGTATATGCAGGTATAATGTAGAGTACTTGTTAATTTTTACTTCTGAATCAATATTTATTACTACCAGGAACTATGTATTAGATGTGTTACAGTAATTACTTAATAGTTTGTACATGTATGTTTATGTAGACATGTGTTAATTTAGTGTACTTGTTAATGAAGTTGTGTTATTAATTAGATTTAGGCTTTGTAACTTGCTCTTGAAGTTAGCCTCATGATTACCATGCAGCTATGACGTTAATCTAGAGCAAGCCTTATCTTTGTTCATTGTTAGTTACAATTGAGCCTTATGTTCTTTGTGTTAATATTATTTAATGACTGATTTTTGTAAGCTGAGTAGTCTATCATTTTTGAGTTTAGTGATCTTTTTGAAACCATTAAAACTATGGAAGCATTCTTATTTGCTCAATGTTAGGAAAGCATATACTAACAATATACACACTATTGCCTCCATCCTTGGCATTGAAGCTGCTGCTGTAGCCATTATCACAGTATAAACATATCACATTGGAACTTATTTATGCAAATTTTGTATGCTCCTCTTTTCTCTTAAAACAGGAAGTTTCTACTCTACTATCTAGTGCATTCAATGTGTATAATTCCTTATTGCTAATTACATGACATTTGATGGAGACTACAAGCCTTCAGTAGGTTTGGTGTGAACAGTAACAGCTCTCGAGAGATGTTGACACTCTTTGGTCACCTTCAGCTTGTCTGGTGACTGGTAATGTGGTCCATGGAGGGACTAGAGCTTTTCAATGCAAAAACTAGTTATAATGATCTAATCTTGTTCATTTTTGAATAATAATTATTTTCAGCAGTTTATAAATTATAGAAAATTCTGATTTGCATTTTGTATTACTGTAATTGTTGACAAATTCAAGGGGATGTTTTTGTTAATTGATCTGCATTCTGAACTGGTAGCCTGGTATTAGATCTAGTCTACTGCATTTACTTCCAAAAAATCATCCAGAATCAAATTTTTGCTCAAACACACACACACACACACTGACATGATGATTGTAGTATAGATACCCTTACCTATACAGCTTTAGCAAGGGCAAAAACTATGACATGCATTCACATTAAGATCAAAGTGCTGCAGAGCAATGTACCATTTCAATCCTCTTTGAGAACCAAGTTTCACACCGATCCTAAATCATAAATATTGCCAGGCTATACCCATACAAGCAGACATATGCTTCATCTCAAGCTTAGCTAAATCTACTTTAATGTTTAATGATAATTATGAGACAGTCTAATGTAAACAAAAAAATGAATAAATCTACAACTATAAGAAAACAAGAATAAATGAGTCAACACACCATATTAAAGTCAGAAGAACAATGTTAGGAAGTTATACCATGTTAAAGTCACAAGTTAGAACTAATTTCAAAGCTGAACAAAACATTTCATAGTCTCCTTCAAACTGCTGTGGAAAAGTTATTTCTCCTGAACAGCTATGAGTAGTTATTCTCCCCATGCAATCTGCTTCAAACTTTATCTTGATTGAGTTTGGCAGGACTGTGATCTTGCCTGTAATGCTGAGTGCAAATTCCTTCAACCCTAAAATATAACAGAGAATAAAAATGGTTAAATAACTGTAAAATCAGTGCAGAACTTTTGATTAATACTGCATGTATTATCATTTTTAATACCTTCTGAATCGCATTCATCAATAT